CCCGCGTCCTCTGCATCGGCAGGCGGACTCTCAACCACTGCACCACCAGGGAAGACCCACACAGGTAATATTTTAATTACCACACAGGTCATATTTTAATTTTTTATTTTGAGAAAATGGTAGATTCATATGCAATTGTAAAGAATAATACAGAGAGATCCTGTGTACCCTTTACCCAGATTCCCTCAAAGATAATGTCTTGCCAATGTCACAGTTGGGATATGGACATCGATACAGTCAAGATACAGAACATTTCGATCACCATAAGGATCTCTCCTGTTGCTCTCTTATATCTACACCACTACTTAACTCCCAGCAAACAATTATCTGTGTTATATAAATAGCATCATACGGTATGTAAACTTTGGGAACTGGCTTTTTTTTTCCACTCAGCATAATCTTCTAGAGACACATCTGGGTTGTTGCATGTATCAATATTCATTTCTTTTTATTGATGAGTAGTATTCCATGATATGGATGTACCATAGCTTGTTTAACCACTCATCCATTGAAGAATAGCTAGGTTATTTCCAGTTTTTAGATATTCTGAATAAAGCTGCTACAAATATTCAGGTAAAAGTTTTTAATGTGAACATAAGTTTTCATTTCTCTGGAATAAGTGCCCAAGAGTGTAATTACTGGATCACATGGTAGCTGCATGTTTAGTTTTTCAAGAAACTGCCAAACTGCTCTCCAGAGTAGCTGTACCATTTTACATTCCCACCAGCAATATATATATGAATGATGTAGTTTCTCTGCATCCTTGGCAACATTTGCATTACCACTATTTCTTATTTTAGACATTCTGATAGGTGTATAGTTGTATTTCATTGTGATTTTAATTTGTATTTCCCTGAAGGCTAATGGTGTCGAACATCTTATATGCTTGTTTTCCATCTGTATATCCTCTTCAATGAAATATCTGTTCATGCTTTATGCCCATTTTCTAACTGATTGTCATTCTTTTTTTTTTTTTTTTTTGTGGTACGCGGGCCTCTCCGGTTGCGGAGCACAGGCTCCGGATGTGCAGGCTCAGCGGCCATGGCTCACGTGCCTAGCTGCTCCGTGGCATGTGGGATCTTCCCAGACGAGGGCACGAACCCGTGTCCCCTGCATCGGCAGGCGGACTCTCAACCACTGCGCCACCAGGGAAGCCCCCTGATTGTCATTTTTTTACTGTTGAGTTTTGAGAGTTCTTTGTATATTCTAAATACTAGTCCTTTATCAGATATATGGTTTGTAAATAGTTTCTCTCACTCTATGGCCTGTACTTTCACCCTCTTAACAGGGTCTTTTGCAGAGCAAAAGTTTATAGTTGTGATAAAGTCAAATTTATCCACTTTTCCTTTTATGGATCTTACTGGTCTAAGAAGTGTTTGCCTAGCCCTAAGTACTGAAGATTTTCTCCTCTTTTTCCCTAAGTTTTGAAACTTTGGAGTTTTTGTTTTGTTTTGTTTTTTTGCAGGTTGTGTGTGTGTGTGTGTGTGTTGCCTATAGATGGATGTCCCATTGCTTCAGCACTATTTGTTCAAAAGGCTATGTTTCCTAATTTAATTGCTTTTACAGCTTTGTCAAAAATCAGTTGGGCATACTTTTGTGGGCCAATTTCAAGGTTCTCTTCCATTGATTTGTGTGTCTTTCCCTCCACCAATACCGCATATTCTTGATTGCTGTAACTAAATAATAAGGCTTAAAATCAATCTGATTCTTCCTACTTTATTCTTTCTCTTTCCAAAATTGTTTTAGTTATTGCAAAATGGTTTCATTATTTGCCTTTTCATATACATTTTAGAATAATCTTGTCTATATCTAAAAAAATCTTGATGAGATTTTTATAAAAATTGCATTAAACTTATATATCAATTTGGGGAAAATTGGCATATTTGCTACATTGGGCCTTCCAGTCCATGAACATGGTACCTCTCACCATTTATTTAGATCTTCTTTAAATTCCTTCATCAGCATTTTGTAGTTTTCAGCATACAAATCTATATGTGTTTTGTTAGATTTCTGCCTAAGTTTTTCCCTTTTTTGAGTGATTCTAAATGGTATTGTACTTTTAATTTCTGTGTCCATATGTTCATTGCAAATATAAAGAAATGCAAGTGATTTTTCATATGTTTATCTTGCATCCTGCAATCCTTGCTGAATTCACTTATTAGTCCTAAGAGTTTTTTGTAGATTCCTTAGACGATCTTGTCATCTGCAAATAGGGACTGTTCTATTTTCTTCCTTTTTGATGGGTATGCATTTAATTCCCTTGTTTTGCCTTTTTTGCACTGAATATAACTTCCAGTACTATGTTGAATAAGAGTAGTAAGAGCAGACATCCTTGCCTTTTTCTAATCTTAGGGGGAAAGCATTCAGTCTTTCACTGTTAAGTATACAGTTAATTGTAGGTTTTTCTGTAGATGATCTTTATCAAGTTGAGGGAGTTTTCCTCTATTCCTGTTTTCCTGAGAGTTTTTATTATGAAGGATGTTGAATCTTGTCAAAAGCTTTTTTTGCAATGATTGCTATGATCTTGTTATTTTTCTTCTTTGGCCTGTTAATGTGGTAGATTGCATTGATTGATTTTTTGGACTGACTCTTGAATGATGACTAACCTTGCATAGCTGGAATAAATCCTGTTTGGTTGTGCTGTAATTCTTTTTTTACATTGTTGTATTTGGTTTGCTAGTATTTTGTTGAGAATTTTTACAACTAAGTTTATGAGAGATATTGGTCTATAGTTTGTTTGTTTTTTTTGTCCTTCTTTGGTTTTTAGGGTAATACTAGCTTCATAAAATAAACTGGGAAGTATCTGTCCTCTTTTATTTTCTGGAAGATGTTGTGTAGATTGTCTTCATTTCCTTTAAACATTTGGTACAATTCTCTGTGAAACCATCTGAGCCTGGAGATTTCTTTTGGGGAGTTTTAAAATTACGAATTCAAATCTCTTCATAGTATAGAGATATTCAAATTATCTATTTCATATTGGGTGAGTTGTAGTAGTTTGTGTTTTTCAAGGAATTAGTCCATTTTATCTAAGTTGTCAAATTTATGTGTGTAGAGTTGTTTGTGGTATTCACTTATTTTCCTTTTTATGTTTACATGGTCTATAGTGAGGTCCTTTTTGTCATTCCTGATGTTGATAATTTGCATCTTCTCTCTCATTGGTCAGTCTTGCTAGAAGGTTGTTAATTTTATTACTTTTTCCAAAGAATCAGTCCTTTGTTTTATTGTTTCTATTATTTTTATGTTTTCAGTTTCATTTATTTCTGTTTTTATCTTTATTATTTACTTCCTTCTGCTTGCTTTGGATATATTTGGTTCTTTTTTTCCTGTGTTTTCTCAATGGGAGCTTAA